GCTCGACATAATTAACCTCTGCAATCTCAGTTTCAGAGGGAAGTTCCGCAACACCTTTGTGGAATATTCTTTACAATTGCCATGTTTCATACCTTCACCTTAACTAGCCATATTCAGGACACTCTTCTGCACCTTCACATTTATTCCAGAACAGTATATAATAAATTCCCTATTGCAATGTTGCATGTATGCAAAAGTAACTAAAGTCAAAATCTCGCATTAAGTTTTTTCCCTCGTTAGAGAACTCAAGCAATACCTCCCCAATTGGCAGTGCTGCCTTGAACAACTCAGGTAATATCTCCATTGATTTGGTAAGTATTACTCCAACAATTTAGCGTCTTCAGACGTAGCAATTTTTCCAAAAAATTCAACTTAGAGAAGTTGTCAAAACTTGGATAAAGTGGATATTGTGCATCTTTCAACAATTTGTCAAATTTTCCACATCACCCAACTAAGGATTGTGGTTGCTTTATGGCACTCCAACAAACGATATCTGAACATGTTCCCATAGACACATCCTCTATAACTTCTTGACCCTCATCAATATCATCATCCTTGTCGTCCAACTAAACTGGATCACAATCTAGAATCTGCACGAGTGACATTACTCAGTTGGAAATCTTATTTGTGATGTACACATTGAGTGCAATTTTGATCTATCCAATTATGACCAAATCATCATCTATCTTGTCTGCGGTCTTATTAAAAAAAATTGTTGCACTTACCACATGTACACCAAATCCAAAGAACTCTATCCCTCGAGAGACAATATTCATAAACTTTTTCACCCCCTCGGTATACTTTGAGCTAAATCTGGTCTTACTTCACATTCAATTGGTTTTCATTAGAGTTGCCCAAAACTTCCTAATTCCACCAATGGGCTTTCCTTAGACAACATAAAATCAAAAATGTCGAATTAACCAAAAAAAGGGTAAGAATAACCATAATTTTAAAACCTAGTCCGAACATCAACCCGACAAAAGGACCAGGCCAATGGGTCACTGGTTCAACCTGTTAAACCAAACCCAAACCCAAACCAAGCCTAAAAAAATAAAAAATTATTATTAATAATTATAAATATGCTAAAAAAATCAAAATAAGTATTAAAATAACAGAGTTAATCTACTTGTGATACATAGAACAAATAACACAATCTGATGAGTAAAACAAAGATGTATATCATTTATCTCCAATAGAAAATTGAGTGATATCTAGCAAATTACATGAGCTAGTTTCTATGTCCTGAAACTCAAATTGTTGCAGACCAGAAAGGAAAGGAAATATTATATGCCACTAAATATGGCAATTAAATCAAACAAAAATCAAAATATTATCAAACATGTATCTAATGTACCAAATTGAATGCTCAATATTCATCAACTACAACAAACATTCATCAACTACACCAAATTGAATGCTCAAGATTCATCAACCACACAGTACCAATCATAATAGACTGACAGAAAATAAGCTAAAATTTTCCAAGTTTTTCACTGAACTAAGTTAATAATCATAAAATAATTAACCAAAAAATGGCAAATCGAAGCTACAATCACCACCATCTGAGTGCAACGAGACTGAGAAAGAGAAAGAGAGAGATGAGTGATGAAGTACCTGTCAAGTGAAGGAGAAGATATTGCCTTCGTTCGACACTTCGATTGGGAGAGAGAGAGTTGATTTGTTGAGCTGCTCCATTCGAGTTTGACGAGGAGAGAGCTTGATTCATTGAGTTCGACTGAGAAAGAGAGAGGGGGGACTGATTCATTCGACGGTGAGAAAGAGAGTCTCTAAGCTAAGAGAGAGGCAGCAGCTAATTAGGTTAGGGCAAAAATGCCTAGCTTTTATAATCTTTAAATTGCCCCGCCTAGTTTGTGATTAACCATTCGGTTTAGTGGGTTTGGGCAAGAACCAGCCGGTTCAATGGGTTTTGTGCTGAAACGATACACTACCCGGTCCGGTTTGATGACCGATTCACCGGGTCAACCCGCTGGGCCGGGCCGAGTTTTAAAACAATGATTGCAACAAAGGTGTCTATATGCATATGTCTTTATTACTAGTTTAACAGCAAACTCCAAATTTCAAACTCCAAGAAATATATATCAATTCCAAGCCTGCACCTTGACAAGATGTAATAATAATTACATTGACATATATCCGTTCGGCACTCTAGCATGGTACTGCATTTTAAATATTGAAATGACCAAAAAAAACCAGGTACTCTGAGGCGATGTTAGTCCTATTTTGGAAATTAAATCATATGTAAACAGTTACCTAAACCAACTAGGAAGCTCAAACTACGACACAGTTGAATGTAATTGTCTCTAATTTTTTTGGAGTTAGATCAACAAGAGTTGCAGAAGCATCCCACAAGAATAACACTACAGACAAACAAGTCTTAAATGCTGAACGTCAAACTACAGGATGAAAGAATGTAGAACTACCTCAAGGGCAGTTCTCGATACAACCAAGATCACACCACTTTCAACTAAAGATAGAGAAACTCACTTTTAAAGGCAATAATCATACTTGAAACAACTGGTTTTTGTAGCAAAGGGTCCAATCAGATTCCCTGGAAGCAACTAGACAACCTCCATCAGTGCATATGGATTCTGCACTAGAACTGGGTCTATGAGGAGTTGACTTTGTTTCACTGTTCCTGAAAATGCTGGGTTCCTGATTCAGGAATTCGGGAGACCCAAGTCCATTACTTGAGAACGAATTGTTTCCTAAATTAACATGGGACTCACAACTTGGAAGCAATTTTAACCGGTCATTATTGCATCCATCAGCGTCATTCTCTTCATCTGACAAGCATCTACAGCAATCTAACTCATCCATCTCAAAAATCCGACTTACTAATCCTTCCCTCCATGATATCCTCATTGGAGATTGCAACCCAGTTTCTAAAGTAGAATTAGACATCCAAGAAGCACGATTATCCACAGACCTCTGCAGTTGATTGAAGTTAATGGAATTGGAAGTTGAGGTCAAGTCAGTGAGCTGGAAACTTAAACCAGGTGGATCCCATATTGATATTTGGCTCCTAGGAGATACACTTTCCCTCAGAAGCATGTCTGCTGCTGAATCTAGTTCATATTCAAAATGGCATCCTGGATACCCATCTGCATTTGACAAAGGCACACAGACCAGTCTATCCAAGCTTGAATCTGATGTTGGGGTCTGAATAACATTATCGCTATTTAAAGAGTCCATGGAGAACGGAGAATTTTCTCCGGCCACATTACCCTCAAATTTGCCCTCTTCTTGTGAAATAACATTCTTACACCTGGGTGTAGCTGGAGGATAAACTAATGAAGAACTCCTAGCAACTTTATCAAATGAAGGCCCCATAAACCCTTGAAATTCGGGGAGTGTTCCTGGAGAAGACGAACTACTCCAAGTTTTCTTAATGCTTGTACTATTATCCAGATCACTGCTACCACTGTAGTTAGTACTGTCACATAAGTCCGAATCCAACTCATGACAGTAGGATGGTGAAATAGGCAAATCAAGTGTAGAGTTGACCAGTTGTCTATATCTATTCATCCCGTTTTCCAAATCACCTTTCTGATCTTCATTATCTTCATCACATGGAGATAAGAGCCAGCACACTGAAGCTTCAACTGGCAACGGAACCAAAGAAACCCTAGACTTGTTAGCAACTCCTACAATATTTCCATCATCATAATCCCCATAGCTCTTGTCACATAAATTAACTCCACCAGGCCCCGAAGAATGAATGCCTCCTACAGTCAGAACACCTCTAGGTCTGCATTTCCTTTTATCAGTCACCCCAGAAACAACATGCCCAGCACCATAATAAGCTGATGTTGCAGCTGAAACCAGCAGAGATGACCCACATTGGATCTCAGGAGATACTGAAGCCTGAACTGGAGGTGTTTTGGTAGTAGTAGTTTCCGAGTCCTCGTCCATGGGTTTACAGCCATCCATTGCACAATCCAAACCAGACCCACATGTTAATTTAATAGCAGCGGTAGAACTTTCAAGTGAATAACTAAACTTGTTTTCCCTTGCAATTCAAACACTTTTACATGTGCAATGAGATGACATGAGGACTGAAAATCGAAAAATGATTCAACGTTATGACTTATTCCAATGAAAACTACAAATTGTGTCAAATACCACAAATATCTGGTAAAGAATTTTAAGGAGCTGTGGTTTCTCAAGTTCTTTACGCGAGGGGGGGGGATCAAGTTGTGTGAATATAATGCATGCCACAACAATTTTTTAACACTGATAGAGACTTAAAATTCTCAATACAACTATCATATTAAGCTAATAATTCTATGGAAGAGTCTTAAATCCATTGGATTCAAGCAACAGAGGTTACTGGTTTTGATCCACCAAAATTATCAACTAGGTCTACGGCCGTTGGATTGAACACGGCTTTAGGTTGGGTGCTTTACATCAGATGCCCTTGAACATGATAACTTACCGATGATATTCAAAACATTCATCTAACAAAGCAAAAAGGGCAAAAATTGGAATTGAAAAATCTAAAGCATTACCTGGAATCGTTGCGGATGTAAAGTTGTTCGGTCGTGGTTCAAAGATTTATCTTCAGAACTCTTTTCAGATCCAACAACGGCTCGTTCTTCACTGTTTCACACCCAATAAACAAAAATATCGAGTGTGTTAGAGTGTGCGCGCGATTCAGAGAGACAGAGAGAGAGATTGAAGAGATGAGGGATGGACGACGAAGAGACGGAAAAATGCCTCGATTTGCCTGGTGAAAACGACGTCTTTTTCTCGTACGGAGAACTGTTCTTTCGTGATACTCGGCTAATACGACGTCGCTGAAATCTTAAAATTAAATTTAAGTCAATATTTAAAGAGTAAATTTGATTTTACATAAACCACTCTAATAAATAAACTCAAACTTAAGGATAATATTTTTTTTTCTGAACTTAAGGGTAATAAAATCTAATTATTGGAGCTTTAAAGAAAGGTAAAATATATTCGATAGAGATTTATGACATTCATATATCAACTAGTCATAATTTGTGCTTAAAAATCGATCTCACTATATTAAATAATAATTTTTTTTATTTATTTGATTATATTATTTAAAATTTATTTGTATCCATTATTTTTTAAAAATTATTGACAAAAATATGTAATCTGACAAATTTTCTCAACATGTATATATTATCATATATGAATAATGTTTGAAATAAAAATCATGTTAAACTATAAATTAATCAAATATTAAATGATTAAACAAGTAATACAAATAGGTAATAGGATGATTTTGGGAGAAAAAATATGTATAAGATAAAATTTTAAACATCTAAATATTTTATTATATAGATTATTATAACTCATGTCTGAACATAAAATTCGAGTCCCTAAAAAATCGATTGTATTATATTAAATAATAATTTTTCTTTCTTTCATTTCTTTGATTACATCATTTAAAATTTATTTTTACCCATTATTTTTTAAAAAAATATTGACAAATTTTTTCAAAATACGTAATTCAATTAAATTTTTTTAATATGTGTATAATATCGTGTATGGATAATGTCTAAAATAAAAATTATAAACTATGAATTAATCAAATATTAAATAATTGAGCATACGATAAAAATGAGCGATGTGGTGGTTTTGAAATGAAAAATATGTAAAAGATAAAAATTGACTTCCTATGTGTTTTTATTGTATAGATGTTATAAAAATATGATTTTATTTACTACCCACATGTGCTATTATTCGGTAAAAATTTAAACTTGTTATTCATATTTTGGGATAGAATGTTCATCAATTTTTAATAGAATTTGAAATGAATGTTAGTCTGAGGGTCACATTAGAACCAATTTATGACATTCAGGGTGCAATATGAGAAAAATATATATAATAAAGTAGAACGATTTTAAATTTTAGAGACAAAGAGCGGCCCAAATTGTTTCATAACCAAAAAATTCATCATCCAACGGACAGTGTTATCCCAAACTGTCTCAAGTTATTAATATCTCAGATCGTTTTGACCTAACGTACTACATTAGCTTTTTTGAAATATTTTTGCTGCTCAAATTTTTAGTTTCCAAATTTGACACCCCTATATGAATTCGCCTCTCAATCTCGCCCAAAATCAATGTCATCTAAATCTAAAATTCTGTCGAAATATAAAATTAACGTTCATATTTAAATTTTGACCTCTGCTCATGCTTCTCTAAATAATATCCTTTCCATATCAAAGAAATCACTTTTTTCACATCACAACTTCAAAATATTCATTATAATGATGATACTTATTATTTATTCCGCTTTCCTTTATCACTTGTATTCATTTCGCTCTTTTCACCGAATTTTTTTTTGATATCCCATTTCTCCTCTGCCTCCCTCTCTTTCTCTTTTTATTCCTCGTCTCGATTTTTGCCCCCAACGAATAGCTACTCAGGGTCAGCCAAACAGCATGAAGAAAAAAAAAAGTATGGGCATTTAGGCCTCAAATTTTTAGAAGAACCCATAATTTTAGGTACATCACCAACCTATAAATTCATTAAATTTTAAGCCTTACCAAAAAGCTCTAAAAAATTAAATCCAATGAAAATTTTTATTGCAATAATTTGGGCTTATAATCCAATTTATAGCATTAAAAACTTAGAAATTAAAAAATTAAAAAAATACTCAAAAGTCAACTCATATTTATTCTCACTCTCTCTCTCTCTCTCTCTCTCTCTCTCTCTCTCCATCTAGTAAAAAAATAAAAAACAAAAATAAAAGTTGAAATTAAACACTCTCTCTCATTCTCTGTGGTAAAAAAAAAACAAAAATTAAAATTTCTTTCTCGACAATATTAACACATCCTTCTTTTGTCTCTATCTCACATAGAAAATTAAAAATAAATTAATTTTTTTAAAATAATACTAAAAATAAAAAGACCTCCATTTAATATTTTTGTTTTAGGCCTTAAATTGGCTTGAGCCGCCCCTGTATTCACCGGCGTCCCTTTCTCTTCTATCTTTTTTTCTCCTCACCGAAATCCTCTTTCTTCACAGCAACACTATGGAGGCACCATCGAAAACACAGTAGTGATCAACTATCGACAATCTTGAAATCTCACTCGGATATCTCTACCCTTCTCTCTCTCTCTCCCTCTCCCTCTCGTTCTCTCTCTCTGCGTATGTCTCCCTTACTGCAACCATTCATTCCTTCTCTCTCCTCTCTACCACCAAAACTCATAACAACCCACCAAACACCCTATATATCAAAAGTCAAACTTTTACCTGCAGACAACCAACACGTACACCCTCTTTCCTCCCCAATCCCCACCATTGCCACCGAAACCTCCCAACCCAACAAATGCCTCCCCACCCCCCACACGCACACATTGCTACCAAAATCCACCACAGTCACCAAAACACCAAGTGTTTGTATTATTGCTTCAATGAGCGAGCCAATATTATTCTTATTTTTTGGCGAACTTACTTTGTCTGCTGCAACGACCATCTATAGCACAACGACACAACTCCAGCGATCAGCAATGACACAACTCCAATAAGACGATGATCTACTGAAAAAGTGGTTTATTGGTTTAGGTTTGTTATTTTTTTTTTAGTTTTACATATTTTTAGGTTATTTACAATTTTTTTCTGTACGTCCTAGGATATGAGGACCTAAGATTGGTTCAAGCTAAGTAGTCCTTTGTTAACAAGGATGAGTTTATCTATTTCTGGTGTTTGTTTTGTCCAAAAATTGCAAAGAATTCTGGAAGAACCAAAGAGCCCTTTTGATCAAGAGTCAAGCCTTTTGATCAAGAGGCACATTTGGGAATAGTTTGCATAAAAAAAAAAAAAGCAATATTGATATGAATCACTGTGAGGTGTATGCATGATGTTTAATGGATTCTTCATATTGCTATTCAAAGTTCTTTAGGTTGTAATGTCTATGTTTTTAAGTATTATTTCTCTCTAAAAAATTTTAAATCTTGACTTCAATTTAATGCTTTGTGCACATTCATAAATTTTGCATATTATACACTATTCCTGCAATATATTGAAATTCAACTTGATTTATTGTCAATATGTCTAATAGTTCATTTGCTTTGTTGTAAATTTGATACATTATTTGGCTTGAATTGTAATTAAAAGTAAGCTCACCTTCTCGAGGCGGCACCGATGGTTGCTAAAAATATGTTTTAGGTTTGGAAGTGATAATTATGGTGGTCTTAGTGATGATAGTTAATCTTGAAGTTATGATGGATGGGTGGTGGTGGGTTAAAGTTTTTGGGGCAAATTTATACAACATAAAATTAACTTAGTTGATAAAATTTGGTTTGAATTGAATAGCAAAATTAATTTAAATAGTTGACTTGATTAGATTTAATTTCAATTTAAGCACAAAATTTGATTAGCTATCAAAATTTAGGCTAAGTGGTAATAATGGTAATGGTGATATTAGTGGTAATAGTTCTATATAATTGTGTTTTTAGATATTTTGCTTGAATTCTTTAGGGGACTCAAATTTTATGTATTCAATTTCTAAATTTGATAATGTTAGTGTAGTTGGATTTAATCATGAAAATTTGATCACAACCATTTTCCATTGATGGCATACTATCTCTCCATGAATATGTTTAAGTATGATAAATGAAAAACATCTTTACTTGGTAAGGTTTGCACATCTTCATATTTTTGTAGGATCTTATTTTTAGAGAGAATTTAGTCATAATTGTTTGGAAGAATAGAAAAAAAAATATTATATTTAGAGGCACAAGCATTCTCTAAACTATCAACATACTATAAGGACAAAAAGTGTAATTTAACCCGATAGAGTATTAAAAATTTAGTTTTAATTAATTTTGGTCTTGTTGATGTTGTTTATTATATTTTTTGTTACAATTCATCTCTTAATATTCCTTCCTTGCTTTCTGTCTCATATTTATTTGATTGTTTTCATACTACAATGATTTTTGAATTTACTACCAT